AATTCATTGAAAAAGTCTCTTTGCTGAATATCTTGTTCTTAACTAGTGTTTCCCTCAAACAGATTTGACGGTTCATTCATGTACAGTTTATTGTTGAGAAATAAGCTTGTAGGTGTCGATTATGTCCAGCTAAAGCGTTTTGACTTTATCTACTATCGCCACTTAATTATCGACATCGTAAATATAGGACATAACTTCATGTGTCAGGCTATATGCATTTCAAATGACTTCTCCCCTAAGCCAATAGTGACAAACCAATTCGGTGCAATGAACGACAGAAAGATACAATCTATATCATCAAAATTATTCCATACACATCGAACAATGAGTGACCATAGTGATTCAGTGACCTGCTGGATAAATCTCTAATGTTCAAGCAATGTCTTATGATTTTCAGTATTAGTGGGGACTACCTTACTCACTAGACAGCAGGTTCTCCATTGATCTTTCCTGGTCTAATTAAAAACGACTACGTTATGATGCCTAGGGCTTTGAGAACTGTCAGCGGAGTGAGTGGTGTATCTCTGGCTCAACTGATTAACTGATAGACATTTAAATTCCAGGAAGCAACTAGCTATAGAAATTTTAACTGACACTGAGCATTCACTTCAATCACAGCTCTCTCTATGTATCTCTTCAGGGAAGACAAGGAGAAACTACATCAAACTGTATGCTCGTACAGCTAAGTATGAGAATTCGACTGTGCCTTAAATAGAACGCATATTATGTGAGGAGAACAGGGTGTTAGAATAGAACTCACATCTATCAACTTTGTAACAGTGAATAAATTCCACTTCAATAATTTAACATTCAGCTGGCGAGTCCCAAATAAGACGAAACGTGCACCCTGGATTCCACTGCTAGCCACTATCCATCATTATTAACAATGTAAAATGTTCTCTTTATTAATATGCTTCACACTACTTAATTAGTTATAATTCGAAATGTTGTAAAGGAGTATGTATATAGAGATATTCTTCGTTGCTGTTGTTGCTACAATATATCATGCTAAGAATTCCTAATTAGTACCACAAATTGTTTGGAATAAAGTGAATTATTATTACTATTATTGTTATTATGTAACTGATGAGTCCAAAATGAAACATAACGTGACTCCAAGCCAATATCAATCATTCCTACTTCTACATTTGTCATTCTTCATATTATTAAGAATAATTTCATGATATGGTATACTTAAAGTTTACTTAATGGAGTGAAGTATAACAATCGTGATAAAAAGCACAAAGCAAAACATAAATGTGCATGTGTACTTCATGTTTGACAGTCTAAAGATTGAAATTTTTATACGCTGGACTGGGGAAAAGATCCTAGAAGATTTAGATTTCGCCAATGATGAATTGTGTATAATGTCACAAAAACTCGAAGATCTACAGGCGAAAACTAACAAGTCGACAGAAGAGGCAGGGCAGCGAGGGTAGACGGAACTTCAAGTGAACATAGAGAAGACAGAGGTGATGAAGATAGCCAACCAACGCCACCACCACCAGCAAGCTCCAATTACTATCAACGGGAGAAACTTAAAGGAAGTAGCCTCTTTCACCTATCTATGCAGCATCGTTGCAACTACAGGGGGCCTCGGTGGCACAGACAAGGACGTCAAATCTAGACAGGATCGGAAAATCAAGACAGGCGTCCATTAACCTGAAACCAGTGTGGAGATCTTCTGCACTCCGCATCAAGAAAAATATCCTGATTTTCAACACCAACGTCAAATCAGTGCTTCTATATGGCTCAGAGACTTGGCGCGTTACTAAAGGAATTTCCAACAAACTACAGACATTCATCAACAACTGCCTACGCTGGCTCGATACTGAAGCTCAGATGGCCAGAAATAATAAGCAACAAGGAACTCTGAGAACGAACCAACAAAGCAAGAACCTATTACTCAACAAATATGCAGAAGGGTAAAGTGGAGGTGGATTGAGCATACACTGAGAAGACTATTCGAGGACATCAAGTATCAGGCCCTCTACTGAGAACAAGATGGGAAACGATGAGTTGGACGTCCGAAGCGAGAGTGACATGGAGGAGATGATGTGAGGAAGAAATGAGAACTTGTGGACAGTTGTAGAGCGAGGCTGAAAAGACTGCAGAGAAGGGAGTGTAATGGAGACGTCCTACTGAATCCCTATGTTCCACCAGAAACCCAAGGGATAATAATAATAATAATAATAATAATAATTGTAACCAAGAAATATGAGTATGATTTCTAACTTTTCAGTCACAATTCATTTCAGAGTGATAGTACATTTACTAATTTTCATTTCGAATTTATACTCTTAAGGAATATAATATACAGCTTCATTGATTGCAAGAGTTGGATGCCATATGCCAGCATTTCATTCAGAATGCTACTGCATGGTGGGAAAAGGAATATTAGGTGGATACCAAATGAACTGTGTCTTCATATGTTCTGTGGATCATCTGGGTAGTCTCCATGGCAAGTGATTTGTGGACTCATCCTTCACTACTTCAATTTCCCTAATTGTTAATTTGTTCACTTTGATCTCCTTGGTGAGACTCAATACCTGTATGCTGTTACCTATCGCCTCTGCCTTCTTCATCTCTTTAGCCTTTGCATTCCATTACGTCACACTATCATTGTGTATACCACTTTTCTATTGGTCATGCTTTTGCTTCAACAGTGTCGTCTGTTCACTTACTGTTTATAGATATACACAGAGTTTTGAAAATGCTATCTAACTAGTTTTAGTAATCTAGTCAGTCGTTACATACGTTGCCTGACATAATGAAAAACATAAAGTGATTTTATTTATGTCTAGAAATTTTGATGATAATCTCATCAGATGACAAACTTTCAATATGTTCTTCATTTCAATAGAAACTAAACATGTTTTCTTAGTGATTGTTCTGAGTTAGTACTAATAAACATTGTCATAAAAGTTCAGATAATGCTAAAATCTGTCTTCCATTTCAAGTAAACATCAGATGAATAGAATAGCTGAATGAAAACTGATCATTGTGGTACGATATAATTCTAGCTTAGTTTTCTTTTAGGTATAGTTAAGCAGTCAGAGATGCTATCATTGAGCTATTCGAGCCACGATCGACTTCCAGTAGGATTAAATTAGGCATATTAATTGTAACTCAAGGGTCACCGACTTCATATTGTCTAATCCTACGTGCTGATCAAATTCTATCAATCCTTTTTGGTGATACAGGTTCATATCTCAGAGAATATATCAGTTCCGTAACGGTTGCAGATCCGCCTTGGTGATGGATGTCAGCAAACACGAAATCTAGATCAAACAAGACTTCCTATCGATTACTTCCATTCAACTAACATCTACCAAAGTACATTATGATATTGGGCTAGCTGCCTCGTCAGGTGGCCATTTGCAACATGCATAATTCAGGAATTATTTGATTGACTATAGAATTTTAGGGTGCTTACTGAAACCTCTATGGTAGTGTGGATTCACTTATGTTTCCACATACTCTATACAAGTGAACACAGTTGAATGTAGACAAATACCCATCTCACGTCAATTGTGTTTATCAATTCATTTGTGTTTTTGGAAGTAAGTACATAGGATGGATCAAAAGAAGGGCGTCTACTCGATTTTATCAATATATTCTGAGAAATCTGTGTTTGAATGGTAGTAAGGTGTTAAAAAGCCAAAATCGCCAGCCACCAGATAGAAACAGGATATTAGATCCTTCAGAATGGTCAGTAAATAAAGAACACCATTTTTATTAAGTTTGCGGAAGCTCGCTCTATCAAACATTTCCGACCTGATGTATGTACTCAAGAAGACACTGTAGTTCACTTTTCCTTACCTTAGTAACTATATGTAATCTTTTACATGTGTATGTATATAGTCTTCCATTAATTAGTTACTTACTGATTGTTAATCACTTGACTATTTCCCAGTTTTTCTTGCAATCATGTAACTTTCTAGCTGTTAAATAGTTCCTTATTTTACACTGATTTTTGTTTGTTGTCTCACCGTGACCACTTCACAACTTCAGAAGTTTCTATCTCATCAGATAAAAATTCCTATTGATTTTGAATAGGATTTGTAATTATTCATCCTGTGTTACCTTGAATAAATTACTATCTTATTGTTAGTCCTGAATTTCAAATCTCAACTTATTCCTGTATATTGAAAGTATGTTATGTCATTAGTACTACTAGTGGAACATAGGACTTCAGTAGCAGGTTATCATTACACTTTCTTCTCTGAAGTATTTTGGACCTGGCACCACGATCGCCTACAAGCTTTCATTTCTTCCTCACATCATCTCCTCCATATCACTCTCACCTCGGACACCTGACTCATAGTTTCTCCTTTGGATTCTACTCGAGTACCTGGTCTGGCTCATGATGCCCTCAATCGGTTTTCTCAATGTATGCCTAATCCATCTCCAATTTCTCCTTCTGTATATTTGTTAGCTGATAGGTTGTTGGTTGGTTCGTTGCCAGCCAGATAGAGTTCCTTGTTGTTTATTTTTCTGACCATCTAATCTTCAATTGTAGGTTTTTTTACAACTGATGAAAGGCTGAAGAATTAAATGAGTTCATCATCTTCTTCAAATATCTTTGTTCTTCCATTGTTCAAATTTGTTGAAGGGAATAAATATTAGAATACTGAAACATTTTTAACTTAAGATATTTATATACGTGACAGATATCTTAGATGTTAGAAAACAGCATACGGACTGTAGTTTTATACGCTTATGATATGTTTACCCATAAATTTATACTTACCAATAATGTGATACTCACATGATATAGGGTAGATTTTACCAGTTTGCTTTTACAATGTTGTCAGCACAAACTTATTCAAATTATTCTTCTACTCACGTACATGAGTAATTATTATTTTCATATGAATCTTTATATATCATATTATAATTTTATCGGACATGTGGTTTTCAGGTGAAGCTTAAGTTTAACGATTATAAATGATTAATGTGCTCATTCAATTAATGAACTGAAAGTGGATACCAAATCAATGTATAAATATGCATCAACTCCTTACTTGTATACACATATCATCACTACACGTGAAATGTCGACAGTGAATGAATCATTGATTGTTATTGGAGCTGGTCTACCGAGGACAGGAACGATGAGTACAAAAAAAGCACTTGAAATACTTTTGAGTCAACCATGTTATCATATGTCTGAGATAGTTATGCAAAAGCATTGTGATATATCTAAGTGGCAGAAACTTATTGATGATGCTCAACAAATACCAAACGCACCATTGGATCAGAAACTGTTAAATGAAATATTTGATGGTTATACCTCTGTGACAGATGCTCCAGCATGTGGATTTTACAAACATTTAATGGACTTATATCCAAACTCGAAGGTGAGGAAATTGTAGATCTTTTGATCTCACTTCATTAGTACGATAAAAGGCATGTGGTGAATATATGAGACATTACCTGATAAAGTCATTCTCCTTTCAGGTTGATGTCTCAATGACACTAACCACATACACAATACTTACTGAATAGTTTGTAAGTATCAAGTCATATATTGATTCATATATTGATATGTAAATACTCATCTTCACTAAAATGTAACATGCCTAATGTACCGTTATGAATCGTAGGAGATAAGAACGTATAAATGATGTCGAATTTGGTCTATATTTAAATGATTTCTAATATAAAGTATTTTACTACCTTTTTCTGCTTCATCGATATGGTTAGACTGATTTGACACTTAACTTTGTCACAAGTCAAAATGGAAGTAAGTTGAAAGGAAAAAACGCGAACTAAAGATTCTGTGGTTCACTTACGAGGCACTAATCAAGAAGACTAATTCCATGGTATTCCCCGTAAAAAGGGGTATGTATCAGATTCCCCTGTAAGGATGTCTAACCTACTAATTGAAATTGAGACTTCAATACACTATCAATGAAATGTATCAGAATACAAGGTAAACTGTTGGCATATTTTATACAAAAACAGGATATATACTGTCACCAGTCATGTCAACACTTTGTCACAACACATGCACACATAGTATAAGGAATATTTTTGTAATTTACATGCTTCGAATTATCATGGATTATGATGTAATAAATAGTCCCATCTATGCTTGAAGATAAGTTGTTTATACTGAACAGGCATTTCATCATCAAACTGCTTACCGTAACTTCTGTCGAATCAGTTCAGACAAACAGTAGACAAAGATTTAGCTGAAAACAAAATGAAGTGGTAAATCACCTATTGTGAGGATACCACAAACTTGGTATACACATCAACAGATGAAACACCAATATGAGGAAATAATGCAGATCACTGTTGAATGGTCGATCAGATATGATGAAGACCAGTTCATCTGACTTCACTATCACAGTCTGTCACTGATATCCAAATATTCTCACTTAACACTTCTCTGTATACATTCCAACCTGACTGATCTCATCAGACAACTCCAGTGTGAAATCCATTCACCTAGCTGAATACACCATTTTGAATACTTGATGTTTGATAACTTCTTCTCATTTGTTCATTCCAACGGAATGTGTGTACATTGAAAGTGGAGTGGAAGATTACTGAAATTCATGCTGACTGAAAATGTTTGTAGTCAGCATTCTACTAGTGTAATCACTGTGTCATTTGAAGTGGTGAATGGTGAGTGGTGAGTGACGAGATTTGTTTGGCATGAGGCATACTCTACCAGCAAGACTATTCCAACAATGTAGCGTTGACGGTGAACATGAAGAGAAGAGATAGATCGATCTGTATCGAGGTAATGCAATAGAGTTTACGATGGACTTCCAGTTAGCTCTCGACATCACGGAAGGCAATGCAAACTCGATCTATTGTACTGATATGAGTGAGGATGTTCATTGGATTCATGACATTACAGTGTTTGGTGATATCCGATGAGCAAATATACTGTTGAATACTCAACAAGTAATCGATTGCAAACCAATCTTCTCAAAATCGATACAACACACCTTGTGTCAATGAAGTGAGGTGGGGGCTACGGCTGTGGCTATGTATGGGGCTGTGGCTGTGGCTGTGGCTGGGGCGAGTGCAGTGGTGGTGGTGGTAGCGGGCGAGATTCCACTGCATGTGTTAGACAACTAGAAGTGATTCAGTCAAATGATAAATTGAGGCCTACGGAAATCATTGGGTGAACACAACCGTCCCTGGACAACACTTATATCACTGAAAGTATCTTCGTGAGAAGAGTTTCTGCAGACCAGAATTTAGCTGAAGGGGACATCAGTGATTCCTTCATATTACGTTGCATATCTCCTGGGTGGCAGGCTGCATGCAACCGTTTTGACAGAAAGCAGCTTCCAATAGCTTGTCGCATTTGATAGTATGTTGGAAATCTCGTCAAGTATTGACTAGGTATTCTAAGCGTTTTGGAACGCAGTTAAGAGTGGATCTGGACAGACAGTAACAAACAAGTGAGTCAGTTGTGCTTTCCCTCTCTCTCTCTCTCTCTTTCGCCTTTCATCACTCACACTGACAACACATGCACGGCTGCACATCACAGATTGGATTTCAACTCCACCAACAATCATACCGCCAATATGAGTATGTTCGTCTACTCACAATGTATTCTTTACCTACCTGTTACTCCATTATACCTTCGTACACATGACGTCTGTTTCATCATTTCGATGATTTGTTTAGGTGATACTGACAATACGTGATAAGAATGATTGGCTATCGAGTATCAGACAAACTTTTCTCCCGAAAACAAACACTCCTGATTACATGTTATTTGAAGAAGCTAAGCAGAAAATTGGACTCGGCCCATCATTCGCCAAAATGGTGGATGATTCAATGAGATTCACATTCCAAAAGCCAAACATGGATTTAGATAATGATGAAGAACTGTTGGCATGTTTTGACGAGCATAATAGACGAGTGGTGGAAACTGTTCCAGAGGATCGTTTATTAGTTTATCAACTTGGTGATGGTTGGGAACCACTATGCAAATTTCTCAATATTCCTGTCCCACAAAATATACCCTTCCCGCATGTGAATGACCGTGCAGAGATGAAAAGCCGTATTGAACTTATGAAGAAACAGGCAGAATGAGCCATTGACAATAGAAATCATCTTTTACGCCGACTGATCTTCCAAATATATTCTCCTAAATAGCCGATGACCTCAGATATATGAAACCAATTAGAAAATAAAATGTTGATTCACTTCGTCTTATTCCTCATCCTGTTTCTCTCTGGGGATATAAATGTTTGGATGTATGCCACTCTCTTACTCTACACACACACACACAACTCCGATACACACTACATATCATAGGTGAATTACTTTTCGGCTCGGATTTCACAAACTGACACACGTGGAGAGATCACTTCACAACTAATCATTTCTGAGAATTCCATCTCACAAATTCGATCCTGACATTCAGTGTGCGGGAACTGAACTAGTAAATATATTGAGAGAATGGGGAGTAGACTATGCTTGTAGGATAAGTCATTCTGACAAGTGATGTGTGAGTGTACGTGTGTGTGTGTGTGTATTGTGTGAGTCAGTAGAATTATGTTCAGCAGTGAAGAGTGTATAGTGAAGTAGACATTGATAACAGTCAGATGAAATTACTGTTCAGTTCACTTGTATGTAGAAGGGTGAAGCGTGAAGATTGAAGTGACTATCATCGATACGTGACTAACAGATAACAGAACTAACAGATAAAGTTAACGTAGCGTAAACGATAATGCCAGTAAAGTGGATGGAACAAACCATTTCGTCACTGAAAACAATGATCTGAAACGAACTGTAGGAGGCAAGATCTGACAGTGGACATGAATGATATGAAGAAATGCAGAGAACCGAAGTAACCAACAAAGCTGCAATTATCAAATATATATATGGGGATTGTGGTCTGGTGTGCAAATTGTCTTCCAACAATGACTTAGTATTCAGTGAAATCGAACAATTGTGCTCATTTCGAATGGTGACTGGTGCATCCTGAAGCAACTTGCAGGCCTCACAGAATTTCATTGGTAGTACGAACAATGAAAATGTATCAACACTACCAGAAGTCGTAATAGATTTTGTAGCGAAATCGAAACTGAAAATATCCCCTACAAACACTATACAGTAAATTACAATCCTGACTCCACAATACTGCTTCACAAAATACAATTGTGAAGCACTAAGATGCGAATTCAAATGTGGTCAACAAAATGGGATGAGACGTGGAACTGGCAGAGGGATATCAAGAAACAAAGACTTCCAAACACACAGATGGAGAGGAGTCATCGAGATATCTTGAAGCCATCATTTACAGTTAGGCAACATCATCATCCCGAGATAAGTGAAATCAGGTGTTGACACTAACAAACAGTAGATTATGGTACATCGACAACCGAATGACAATAGTGAGTATTGTTCACTGTCAACAACCACACCATAATCTCAGTCGTTGAGGAGATTAATTAACAAGTGAATAGTGAGGGGAACTACTGAAGATGGAGGGATAACCGAAGTATAGAGAGATTGAGGAAGTGGAGTGGAACCGTTGAGAGGACACGTTGAGGATATTCTACCCACACATTCACTATATAACAGTGATAATGTTGAGTGAGAATCCACGTTGTTTGAGATGGGGAGATGACCACCAACTTTCTTCCCATGCAGATCACTTGGTTGTCTTACCCGAGATAAGCAGGAATGAGCAACCAGTGAAGTTGATAATGCGGTCTCCAACCTGTTTCGATCCAACCTAGTAGAATCCATTGGTTTTCCACACAAAGTTTTCAAAACTGGAGGTAGGGAATTGTTAAATGAAGTAGTAGAGGTGCTTACTAGGTAGTGTGTGGGAATCAGATATAAAGCCGTCAGATTGGTCTACCCACGAACACCCAACTCATCGTTTCCCCTTTGCATTCCACTCGACAACCTGGCCTGACCTCACCTGACCTCACCTCACGTGGTGTGTGATGTCCCCAAACGATCTTCTCAGTGTATGCCAAATCCAATCGAATCCAATCGAATCCATCTCCACTTTCCTCTCCATATTTGTTGGGTGATGGATTCTTCGTTGGTTAATTCCAAGAGTGAATTCCTTCTTCCTCATTCTTTCTGGCCTTCTCATCTCATCTTCAATATCGAGTGAGTGTAGGTGACAGATGTTGATGATTCATGTCTGCAGATTGTTGGGAATGCTTCTCGTAACGCACCAACTCTCTCAACCATCACATAGAAGCACTGACTTGAACTTGAGTGAATGAGTGTTGAAAATCTGGATGTTGTTCACGTTTAATGCTGAGTGCAGTGTAGTGCAGTGCAGTGCAGCGGAGTGCAGCAGATGTCCACACTGATTGATTTCAGATTAATGCAGGAAGACCTGTCTTGTTGTCTTTTCGGATCCTGACTGGATTTGATGTCCTCATCTGTGCCTGTGCCACATGTAGTTGGAACGATACTGCTAAGTTGGTAGGTGAAAGAGAATACTTCCTTTAGGCTTCTTCCGTTGCTGGTGATAACTGCTTGTTGTTGTTGCAGGTGTTGGTTGGGTATCTTAATCATCTCTGTCTTCGCAACTGTTCAGTTGAAGTCCTGTCTTCCCTCGCTGCCCTGACTCTTCTGTCAACTTGTTGGTTTTCGCCTGTGGATCTTCGACTTCGTGGGACATTAGACATTGGACATAAGTCACCGTGGGCGAAATCCAAATCTTCTAGGGTCCTTGTGTTTTTATCAGTCAAACAGCCTATGTCCATCTTCTCGTTCCTCACATTTTGCTGCATGACCCAGTCCACCACAATCAGGAAGATCATCGGTGGTAGTAGGCGGCAGCCTTGTCTTACTCCTTCCTGTCTTCACTTCAAAGGCGTCAATGAGTATTCCATTGTGAATCACTTGGTATGTGGTGTCGTCATATAGCTTTTGAATGAGTTTGATGAAGGTTTGTGGTACTCCGTAGTGTTGATGCAGTTGCATATCAAATAACTTCTCAGTCGACGCTGTCGAAGGCCTTTTCAAATTCGATGAAGTTCAGTTAGAGTGTTCATTGAATGATGCCGAGGTGTTTGAAGTGGTCGGTGACAAGTTAGAGTTCCTGTGCGGATAATACTCACTGTGAGATAGGTAAATCCAGTTGAACAGTCCTCAGCATGCCTCCTGGATTCCACTGCTAGCCACTATGCATCATTATTACAAATGAGGAGGTTTCATTTACTCAGACATCTATGATACATCAGTTACGAGACTGACTGCCTTTCTAAAAAAGTTATCCATATCCATGTGGATAAACACAATGTCTTGGCGTTACTCAACGTGCATCATCTCTCGTTCCAACTGGTAAGATATCCAAATTCCAGTCAAAGGTTGACGATACTGCCTAACATTCCTCTTTCTCCTCTCACACGACTATGAGACGTGGTCGCCGAAAGTAGATGATGTGAAGCAATTACAGGTTTTTGACCACAGATGTCTTGGTATCACTGCTCGTATTTTTGTAATAATTCTGTGGGTAATGTTAAAGTCAGTCGAAGAGTACTCCGTCAAGAAAACTAAAGATAGATGAGAGACCAAAGCTCAGAATGACACAACATGCCCTTATCACGAGTGAAACATTCTGTGTATGCAAGAGGATGCAGTAAACAATAAGTGCATCCTGAATGTATTGACCAACTCATTGGCACAAAGTATCTCATAATGTTTAATTCTCACATTATCCTTTATGCATGTCGACTGTCTCACTGTCTGTTCACCTATTCACCCCAATCTAACACCAGCCTACTTCTCGGACAATCTAATATATTTTGCTGGTCAGTTTAACTTCCATAGGATGTGATGTGGGTGCCTAATCAACCCAACTGTACCATGCCCACTTGTTCACATTTTTGTATTTGACAACTACTTCAAATTTCGTAGTCGAATTTCCATCTTTCATCTCATTACCTGAGCCCACTTCTCTCAGCAAATCATATCTTAGTACGTTTCACCGTACAAGTGTTATCATATCAAATGAACAACATTTTTAACTACAGCTTACTTCAAAACCACAAGCTCATATCGATGCATTTCTGAATGCATTTCCGTTTACCGTTTGAATTCGTAACGCATATTGCTTTGCTCTCCTATATTCCTCTTTACCGACTAAATAAGTTAGTCTCCGGTTAATCACTCGCATGTCGGCATTCAGGACTTCTTGATCTATTGGCAAAATCACCTACAATCTTAATGGTTAGTAGGAAAACGTATGGCAGTTTCAATTCGGCAGTTAGGAGCAGTTTCTATGCCAATACTTCGTGCTCCCGAAAGGAAAAATTCATCCTCTCTGTCGACTCTGATGTGCATGGCTGCTCTTTGCTTTTGCAGATCCATTACGTGCCCCTCGCCACAAAAAATTTGTTGCTACTTTGCCCATCAACTGTCGAAAAATTTGGTGAACTGTTTAATAGTCATCGACTGATCTATGTTTACAAGCTCCAACTGGTGAGGAGTGGCAGCTGACATCTTCTGAATTGTCTTTGCTTGTGCTATTGACGCCTCATCGATACTGGTCAATAGGCGGTCCACAGCATTGGTGAGTTTCTTCACCGAAATCAGTGGGTGTTTGTCTTCTCGCATTTCTGAAGTTCTGTCAACTCTTACACCAATCGAGTTTTCAGAATCACACGCATGTCATTCCTCTTAATGTCCTTCACACTGTCTTACGCTGTTTTGTAGGTTGTCTTTTCTCGATCTCTTCAGAGGATCATCAACACCATCAGCTACTATTACAACTTGGTTGTCCCTACAAACTCCGAAACCACAAATAGTTTCTTCAGATACATCCTGGCATCTCCTTCCTCGAATAATGCGGGCCGAGATATCTTCATACAGACAACGAATCGCAGTATAAATGAAAGGAAGTACAATACAGCAGTAAACAGCTTTTATTGAGGAAAACGACTGATGAGGTTTAAAATAATGAGCTTAATAATGTGGTTTAGATTTGAAACGATCTCTACTCCTTCATCTTAATCCTCACCAATATGATTTTTGATAGTTCTCCTTTCCCAAATCCTGACAAGTGAATTGTCACCACTTTCGATTTCGTCATTTACGTATGCTAATTAAATGTA